CACTCCGATGTAGAATTTCCCCAACTCTTCTGCTTTTTCAGCAGTCTTTTTGTCTTGCTGCCAACCACATACTTAGAAGAAAGAAGAAGAAAGAAAATGGGTATTGTTAGTGGGTAGTGTTTGAACTGTTTCTGAGCATGTTAGCATGATGCCTTTAGCATTCATATCTAAGCAGTGCTGTGTCCAAGTACAGCCTCAGAGCAGCTAGCGTGGCTCTAGGCTCTTGGTGTTGTCTCTTAAAATGTCATTTGTCAATTCTGTGAGCACCTAAATTGTACTAGGGTTGTTGTTGCCAGAGGTTAAAACTGTGACATGCCCAAATAATTACTGACATGTTCAGGTGGGTTTAGTCATAGTTTGAAAAGATGAAGATAAAGGTTGGAATAGTTTTACTCTTGGGGCCCAAATAATCCTCTCTGAATGTAATGAAACATCTAAAAAAATAAGCCCACCCACACGCATGTTTGGTGCAAACACAGTTTTTCAGCAGGGATTTGGATGATGTTCAAAACAGCTTTGTGCATCCAGCATACGTACAGTTACATCCAAATATTAGTACATGTCCAAACACTGTTATTGCCAACAAAGTACTGTCAGTACTCTTCCTCACAACATGACAGAATCTGCACTGACAAACACACATGTACACACACATTCATGCACATGTCTTAAAAACACAAAGAAGGCAGTTCCAGACCCCTACATGTTTGGGCTCCCACCCAAGCCTACTCTTGCACCACAATGGGTGTCCCACGGGTGGAGCTGAGTCCCTTGAGGCCTAGAACCGTGCTGGACAATGGGTACTGGGGAGGAGTTAAGCCTCTTGCTGCTCACAACTTAGTGGCCAAGGGATCAGGCATTAAGACACAAGGCGTGTTAGGAATCCTTCATGACAAGAGCTTTCACAGAGTCACTCCAGGTCACCACACAGCAGCTCACTCACATCTGATTTGAGGCAACGAATTTGGTCTTTGGAATGAAAAAGGACATGATGTCACACAGGCATCGTGCCACAGCAGTGATGCACTCTGCCCTCGTGTCACTTCAGTCAACCTTTGCACTTAGTATGGCTTCACAGTGTTCTTTATCGGATCTGTAACACGGCTATCAAAGTTTGTCTGTAGCTGTCTGCATCAGTACATATCTTGTATTGTATTGGGAGGAAATCAACAATCTTACAGAGTGGTGCACAGAAAACAACCTACCATTCAATTTAAGCAAAACCAACAAGACGATATTTCATTTTATGAAAAAAAAAAGACACACCCCTGTTTACATCAGTGGAGCTGAGGAGGAACAGTTGTGGGTTCCTCGGAATCAGCATCAAAGAATGGTCATGGTCATGTCAAATCTCTACAAATTACTGTATTTCTTAAGAAGTAAAATTGGGATGTGCATGGCCGAGGACAGGAGGACTCTGCAGCAGGTTTTAATAAAAAAAACAACAACAGAAGATTATTGGCGCTGAGCTGCCCAGCATAAGTGATATTGGTGACCTGAGGTGTTTATGCAGAGACCAAAGGATACTCAAAGACGGCACCCACCAACCCAGTTATAGTTAAAAGGGAACTCTAACTGAATTTCATTCTACAGCCTTCTGTAAAAGACAATAAAATAACCTTGAATCCTTGAATCCATCTACCAAAGCTGAGTCTTTGATGTAGTGATGAGGTTAGAGTCCGACCTGTGGCCCTTTGCTGCATCTATTTCTGTGTCTGTGTGAAAATAAATGTATGTTGCTTTATGGCATTTGCTGAATATAGTCTCAGTAGAGGGACATATGGGTTACGTCTGCTGCCACTTTCACACAGACAGTCAAATAATGATGGATGGAAAGTAGAGCTCCAGCCCAGTGGGAATGTAAGTATCTGAACTGAACCTAAAGTGATTTCCCTTTGAAAATACACAACCAATCTTAGGACCGTGAAGGTAAGGATATGCCTGCAAGCTTTTCACATTGTGTTACTCAAACTTGTATCAAAAGGGAATTCAGGCATCATTTCTTTAGCAGGAACTTTAAGTTTGCAAAGGTTTATAGATGCAGCAGAAGTTTAGAGATGAAGCCAAAACCGAAGTATCCCTGTTCTCAGCATTTTGTACTGTTGCCCAAATAAGACCATGTGAAGAGCAGTGTTATTAAAAATGGATTACAGTGGCATGAATGAGTCCAAGGGGGTAGTAATGACGGTGACTGAATACAAAGGCCATATATGGAGCTTTACACTAGGCTATATACCATGCAATGTGTATACAATGGAACACAAATAAAAGCCCATTAATCACTGCAAAAAGCTGTATAACCGCTAATGAATCACTCTGACTTTAGTTTGCTAAAGGGTTAGTTCATGTATTTTGCTGGGGGAAGCATTTAAAGACCAGAGCTGTTTCCTGTTCTGAGCAGGCTGATGAGTGATGTCAGCACGTTGGGGATGTTCAGGTCAAAGATCACAGCTTGTTGCTCACTCTGAGGGCGCTGAATGTACGGAGGTTGTGTGAAGTGATGTGGGATAGTAGATCGACGTGTGAGAGTTTGTGTTTGTGAGAACATATGGACGCCATGAGTGCTCTTTGTGGGCTCAGACTTCAAGTTAGTTTTATTTCCAGTGATGTTCTAAGATATACTGTAACAATAATGATTATTGCATCCTTATGTTGCAATCAAACTTAATGCAGTTAGGAAACTGTGTGCAGATTTCTATATAATGATCCTTTGAATGTAATTCAGATCATCGGGCATTTTTGACTGCTGAATTACTACATTATTACATCTTTGGTTTACTAATCAAATGTTCTGATCATGTTTTGAATGTCACAGTATGGCTTTAATTTAGACATCTTGTCTGCAGGGCTCACACACACACACGTTATGGGTTTCTAGGCCTGCCAGAGTTCTGTGATTTCTCATTATGAGTTTGTTCTGAGGTTAACAACCTATAAAAACCCAGTTACAGCTACAGTCAGGGCAACATACATAATTCTACAGTGGGAGGATGAAAATGTTGCACCTCATAAAGAACAATACTGTACTTAAAATGTAACTTCCTTTGATCTTTTACACACGCACACTCAACTCTGATCAATACAGTCATACTTTATACTGTGCTTTTTCATTTACACTCCCATGGAACATAATGGCTCATGGATAACTTAATTTTTTTTTTTTTTGCCATTGCCATTGAGAGCAAATGAATGCAGCTTCAGATCTGTGGTAATATTATTGTACCAATAGTCTGAAATTATTATACGTTTTATTGAACTCAAGTGCAGACAGTACAAGCAATAAAGTATGGTGCCATTTGCTATATATGCCTTGAAAAGGCAAAACCATTCAAGTAGCACTCTATGAAAAAAAGTATATGCTTATTCTACAGAAACTATAAAGACTACAAATAAACTATTAAAAAAAGTAAATTAAATGAATTATTCTTATTTCTCTTGGCATCTCTGCCATACACAGATACGCAAAGCTGAATATACAATAAACTGTCTATAATTAAGTGTGTACATGGAATTATATTGTATAAGCACTCTACAGGAAATTACTTAGTTCACCATTGATGTGACCAAAATAACTAAAAACTTTTATATTTGTACAGTTATTTTTATTTTAATCTTTTATCATGATTAATTTTATTGATTTTATTTATGTATTGTGGTACATTATTTTATTTAATTTATTATTATTATTATTTTTTTTTTTTTAACATATTTTAGACTATTTTGTGCAATCCTGCTGTGTCAGATGTGTCTATGTATTATCTACAGTATTAATTATTCAAGTATGTATTGTTTCCAGTCAGCTGGATCTGCTGGTCATCGTGAATGTGCTGTGACATTGTATAGAACATAAGCTGTCAGCAGTCAGAAGTTTCACTCTGCTTTGACCTCCGGCACTGTAACAGCTCCCAGACCTGTTCTTCATAAATGTGTCAACAGAATGACAGAGTGATCCACTGGAAACACTCTGAATATCTACCGTATATCCATCACATCAGCAGCTGTTGAGGCTGTCAGGCTCCTTATTAGCAGCCTGCTGAAAGTGCTATTAATTAAAATAAGAGGAGGTGATGAACTTTATTGATCCTAGAGGGGAAATGCAGCAGCAGAAAGCGGACTGTAAATAAAACTGAAGCTGCATGTTTGCACCAAGGATTGATGCAACTCTGCACAGAGTGCTGTGTTGGCATGTGTTTGAAATACAAAAGCAAATATAATAACCAAAATCAAGGTTTTTAAACAAAATCACAAATTTGTATATCAGCCTCAGTACCCCCCGAGAGTTAGATCAAAGGATTGATGCCACTCTTTACACTAAATATGAAACTACAGCCAGCAGCTAGTTAGCTTAGATTAGCATACAGACTGGAAACACATGGAAACAGCTAGCCTGGCTTTGTCCAAAGCTGACAAAATCTGCCTACCAGCGCCTCTAAAGCTCATTAATAAACACATTATATCTGGCTCCAATAAAACAACAACTTTGTACACTTTTTTTGAAAACAAAGCTTATTTATTAGCAACCTTGAAAGCCTTTGGACAAAAGCCAGGCTAGTCATCCCACCTGTTTACAGTCCCTTTGCTAAGCTAAGCTAACTAGCTTCTAGCAGTAGGTTTTTTGCATAAAGATTGAGAGTGGTATTGATCTTCTCATATAACTCAAAAAGAAAGCTAAGAAGGATATATCCTATATTAATTTAAGTTTTAATTAAAGTATTTACTGTTTGTGGAACTGAAGACCTCTCGGCCACAACCTCTCTTTTCTAACCTTCAGGCCACCACTCCCCAAATGCTGAGATTGAGCATCCTGAGGCCTCAGACTGATCTCACCTAATTAAAAACGCTTCAGAACTATCCATTATGCTCTTCTGACTTCTTGACTCTTTATTAGTGTGACAGTGGCAATTCTGACACTGTACTGTGGAAATAACTAGAATGTAGGCTGTGTGCCGTCACTGTATAAGAACCTGTATAGTTTGGATCTGAGCAACTTTCTGTTGGGACTCAGTCCTAGAAGGAGGCAGGACGCATATGTGTTCATGAGAAATTAAACAGAGAGGAAACAGTGGGAAGCTGCAGGTATTGATTAGCACACAGTCACTGTTGACCAACAGGTGAGTATGACTTTTATTTGTGTACATTTACATACATACATAGTTTGACCTTATTAGACCTTGTTACACATTAAGTACATATTTGATTGTATTTTTTGATCACGTAAACTGTCACAAAGCAAATATAAATGTCAGTTTCCTCTGAAATAGTTGTAGAACATGTCACGAAAATGAAAGGATTTAATTTATTAAACTGTGAATGTGTGTGTCATGAGCAGCAGACCTGTCCTGGATTAAGATGACTCATGTGAAAAGGTTTCAAGGGATTCCCATGTCAAAGGTATGTTATGAACTGCTGGAATCGGGCTAGAAACTTGACTGTAAAGATTGGAACAATCAGGGATATGTTTGCCGTTATTAAAAGCATGCAGTTACAGCTATTTTGCAAGTTCCTTTGTGTATTCATTCCTTATCAATCCAGCATCAACCTGGCAGACAGTTCTTCAGTGAAACCAAATATTTTTTCCGAGAAGAGCCAATAACAGAAGTAAACAACAACTTAACAGTACATATCTTCCACATCTGGATTTTCTAATTTTATGATCTGGTGACTGCAAAGACATTTGATTTGCATAATTTTTAAACTCCTCAAACAATTTATTGACCCTCTGGTACCCTGTGGATGGGGCATTATCATCTTAACACATGGTCTGTGGTCACGTTTTTCCATTTTTGCTAATTTATTTATTTCCTCCTAATCTTGTGCGATCACCCCATTTGATAGCTTCATATTCGAGCCGCCTTCTCATTTACAGTCCCTTTAAAAACTTTTCACCTCTCTTGGATGTTTACATTGTTTCAGATCTCTACAAAGAGATCTAAAAACATAAATACAACCACAAAATCCAGCCACAAATTCCTGATTGGATCAAGATCTGAACTCTGACTCGGCCACTCTGTGACATTAACATTGTTGTTTTGAAGCCTTCAGTTACTTTCTGCTTGGGCTCGGAGGATTTTCCCGTACTTGGCTGCATTTTTTTGCAACCTCCGCCCTCACAAACCTTCCAGGGCCTGCAGTAGCATAGAAGCATCCCCACAATATGATGCTGCCACCATCATGCTTCACACTGAGAGTGCTACAGTGTATTTATGATGTGCAGTGTTTTGTCGCTTTGTCTGATAGCCAATAAGCTCATTATTGGTTTCATTGGACTGTGGAGGCTTCTTCCAGCTGACTTACTCTGGCTGCACCCTGCCATTAACCTGCAACTTGTGACCCACCAGGCCAACTGTTGATGTCTCCAGTGTCTCCAGCCTCGACCTCTGAAGCTTGTAGCTCCTTCAGAGTTGCCACAGGTCTGTTGGTGGTCTCGCTCACTAATCTTCTTATTGCATGCTCACAGCCTCTGGGCAGATTTATTAGCTGTGCCATACTTTTTGTCTGTCATAAAGATTGATTGGACCTTACTCTTTGGGAAGTTCAGTGGCCGTGTAATGTTCTTGTAGCTATCCCCTGACATTTGCTTGTCAATCACCGTTTCACTGAGTTGTTTATTCGCCCCCATTGCGGAGGTTTTGCCTGATTGACTAAAGGTTGCAGCTTCCAGATAAATATGTATTTACTGCTGATCCCCAATTAACTTATTATGTGGCTTTAAAAAAACAATGTGCTGCACCAGTAATCATTTAGGTGTGTACATTGAAGTGGCAGTAGTTTGACATCAAAGGCTGTTGATCATAGGCAAAAGAACCACATTAAATATACTTGCTGTAAAAGACTGAAATATAAAAACTGAAATATAAAAACTTTTTAATAGGCACTGTGGTTTAATTAAAATCAGAATAGGCAATGCAGAGACGGTTGATACGTGCAGTAGAGACAATAGCTGGAGGCAATTTGAATCAAGGAGGAAGATGTGGAAAAACAAGTATCACATTTGATGAATAGCTGTTTTTCTGGTTCTAGTCAATGAGAGGTTTGTGTAAAGAGGAGGACTATGCTTTTCTGGGAATGTCAGAAAAGACGACGAAGGAAACGGCAAGAGTAGCTGGAGCTTTGGGGGATGACTGGCGAGACCAAAAGGAGGAGAGGGTAAGAGATAAGGAAGAGCCAGCCTCTAAATATAACAAGACCCACTATTATTACACTCCAGCTAATTGAAAAAAATACACGATGTGTGTAAGTATGTATATGAGTGGTGTGTGTGTGTGTGTGTGTGTGTGTGTGTGTGTGTGTGTGTGTGTGTGTGTGTGTGTGTGTGTTTCAGGTCCGCAGGCGACTGGAGAGAGAGCAGCAGGAGAAAGAGAGACTTCAAGAAATAGAAGAGGGCAAAAAGGTGGACACACACACACACACACACACACACACACACACACACACACACACACACACACACACACACACACACACACACTCTTTGGATGACACACTCTACAAGTCTGTACATCTGTGAAGCCAAACAGCCTCTTCATTCTCAGCATTTGGCACAGCATGAAGGCTTATGCTAAATGACACCAGCTCAGCCTCAACGGCTCTCATGTGATTCTCCTGAGGACACACTCTTGCCAATGCATGCATGCAGATTTTTTTCGCTCTCACCCAAACACGCGTGCACAAGCACAGACACCCAGGTTTACACCCCACAGCCAAGCAGTAGTTTCTGGAGCTGATTGGTGTAATGACAGATCCGCCTGGCTGTCAGCACCTATTTATTTGAAGCCAAACTCTGAAGGAAAGAAAACACTTGGGATCGTGGATCTTGGTAGCCCTCAGTTTCTTGTCGTCACATTTGAAGCGAGGATTTTGTGCCTACACTCAGCCAGCAGTATCCCAAATTATTTGTCATATTCGTATATTAGTGATCAACAAACGTCAAACTGAGTTTTCTCTCTGTTTGTGTTTCTCCCAGTTAATCCGCTCTGTGAACGGAGCTCGTTATTCACATTTTAAGACGCTGCGCTTAACATTTCATGAGAGCAGGCTGTTATAATCAGCCTAATGGAAACAGCGGGCTGAACAATCAGGCAGACAGGCAGTAGTGTGGTGTGAGATCGATGAGTGTTAATTTACCGGCGAGGTTCACTTCATCGCTCACAGCAAAATCAGATTCACTTCCATGGAAACGACAGACAGGGAAACACAACTCTGGCCCTCTGTCAAGGCTGCCGGGCTTATCAGTCGCTTCGAACATCACTCACACTTCACGGCGCTGAACACACACACACACACACACACACACACACACACACACACACGCTGGAGCACACTTAACAGCAGCAGAAACACACATTTGCCATTTTAAAAAGTAGTAGTGTGTCAATTCATTCAAAAACACACACACAGTTGCCAAACAGATGGACATCCTCATGGACATGGAATGCACACACACACAAACACACACAAAACAGCTGTGGGTGCTTTGAGCAGCCGCCTCTTTTTCTGACAAGTGTGTGTCAGGTCAACAGGGGGCGTGGGCTGTTGTTGTTTCCGCTACACACACAAACACACACACAAAAAGGCAGGAAGCTGATGAGAACATTTACCCTGATATAGAGGACAGTCACTCTCACCTCAGTATGGAATGTACTTTCCGCTGAACCCTAACTTAACCTCAGACACACACACACACACACACACACACACACACACACACACACACACACACACACACACACAGCCTCCATGACTTATGAGTATAACCCTTGACATATGCTCTCACAAACCCAAATACACGTATGCATGTATGGTTGATGCACACAAGCAACATATACATGGACACACACACACACACACACACACACACACACACACTTTTGGACAGTCACTCTGGATACAATCTCTCACATACACACTCAGTGCTGGAACAGCGCAGTCAAGCCAGAGGAATTCCACAAACACACTGTAATGTTTCTAACTTAACGTTCAGGTTCGAACTGCTTCTCCAAATTACACAAATTAAACCAAACCACCCAGAATAAAAGCATCCCATGACCAGGGTACATTTGAATGCCATTTCCAATTTAGTTCTCTGGAAGAAAGGCAGTACAGTATATAGTCCTCAAGAGGCTAGGCCAACCCATTTTGGTTAGACTTTGTTAACACAATTTGCAGGGTGACAAAAAAATAGCAAGCAGGAAAAGCATTTCTGTGTAAGCACTTTGGTTAAAGTCTTGCATAACATCTGGCCTCAACATCAACTGAATTTGAGGCTGTTATCTACAAAAGAGTCATGAGCAGCAGTACGCTACTGTTAATTATACTTTACCCCGCTGTATGTACTATGTTATTTGCACATATCACATCAGCACGTACTGTATCTCTCTGCACCAACTACCCTCTGGCTGTTACTTTCAAACTGAAAGCAGACAGAAATATGTGTTGTTGGGATTTTTTTCTTTGCAGACCTGGCAACTAAATTCAGGGAGTGCAGTGTGATAACATTGTGGGTGCAGTGAGTTGAGCTACAAAGAATGCTCAAAGCCTTATGGTCATCCTTAATTGACACCAGACTCTATAAATGCATATCTGAATTCTTTGGAACATCTCTTGTCTTTAGTTTGAGTGAGTAACAGTATTTGGATGCAATTCCATCATTAGACCAACAGAGAAAACTTGTTCCTGTGTACCAACAGAGTCCAGGGACTGTAATCTGCTGGGCTGGGCCAGTAAGACAATGATAAACTAGTTAATTCAGTTATCAAGCTATTTATCTCATTTTAAATCAGTGGACTGGAAACAAGTGAAACCCACTGGAATTTCCCAAAAATGTGGTACTCTGGCAACTGAGGTGTTTTGTTTGTCCATAAAAAAAACCTCAGACTGCCCTGACGTCAATCTGAAAAGTTTTCCTCGTGCCTCAGAGTTCAAGTCGAGATGAAATGTCGGTCTGGCAGGACTCACACTGTAAACACAAACAAGCATATTGACTTCTTTAAACACCAAGTAGCCAAATACTGATCACATTTACTAAAGGCCTAAAAGGATTCACACCGGTATATATCTTTACATATTATTAAGTGTTCCTATTTAGCTCTGCACCTGATTCTTTACATTACTTTACCAGTTCCCAGTTTCCCTTTCCTGACTTTGAAAGCAGGTCTAGTGAAATGTGAAGTGAAGCAACCAATTCAATATTTACAGTTAGTAGACCTGTTATTATTATTATTGATTTTTAGCCATGCAAGCAGTGTGTCACTAGGGATGGTAATGTTGGTCTGTTGGTTGGTCGGTAGGTCCACCACTTTGATCCAGACGGAAATGTTTCAACAACTATTGAATGGATTGTCATTAAATTTGATGCAGAGATCCATGGGGGCCAGAGAATGAACTGTAATGACGTTAATAATAACTCTTCATTTAGCTCCATGAATTGGGCCAGTACTCACCAGTACTGAGTGCCAGCACTTCTGATTTTTGTCCAAATTAGTACTGTTACTTTTTCCTCCAATGAAAGTTGTGAAATAATTGTCTAAAAATGACTACTTTGATGCATGCCCCCAAACCCCACTAATATAATCAGTTTTTGGCCCGCAGTATTTGTACAGTCTGTATACAGCAATGTTGGTGAGCCATTCCTAAAGGCAACTATCTCTGTGCAAACACATAGAACGCTAAAAAAACGGCAAAAGAATTAGGGTTGTAGTTGTGTTGTTTTTAGGGTTAAGGTTGTGCTGAATTAGGGTACTCCAGCAAGATTATTCGCTGGAACTCGTTATTGAGAAGGCAACATTAGGCTGTTCAACTAATATTTCCTCATATACAGCCGAGCTCCGAATGAATGCACTATTAAAGTTCCAAAAGTGTCTTCTTTTCAAAAAGTATTCAGCAGCAGAGAGCACTTTCTTTTGCACTCCTCTGCTTTCCAAACATGCACAAAGTCAGTCCAGCGTTAGATCTTATTTTGCTGTAATTTACGCAAATTAGAGAAACTGCAGCCAGGCTCATTAAATAACCTGCTGAAAGACTGTGGTAGGTTGGTAAATATCCCTCAAAGTGTTTCACACCTCTGAAGACATATGACACTCAACTCCACAACCAACACCAGTGGCCAGATGGCAAATTGCCGCCATGATGTTGTGATTGGATCAGAGGTAGTGAAACAGGTATTTACGTAATTTGTCAATTTGTCAGTGATCGCCAATTTAACACAATTTGTTCAACATGTGCTACTCTCTCTTCACACACCGCAAAGACGAACAAGTGTGTATAGAACATGGATGAAGTAATCATTCACATGTCCAAATGCTTCAGCTCAAGGCCTTTTCGCAAAGAATGTCCTGATTGTTCACCTTAAAGTGTGTGAGTGTTTGTATATATATATATATGTTCAGCGTGTAATTGGGGAAGTAACGGTTTAAGTGCTTTCACCTTCACTCCATGTGTCAGCAAGTCTTCTCAAAACTGACTGGCCTCCCACTTCCTCCACACATCACGGCTCCCCCAGCACACACACACACACACACACACACACACACACACACACACACACACACACACACACACACACACACACACACACACACAGCATGACAGAAATGTTAATTGATGACAGGCACTGTCCTTTGAGAGCAACTGGCCTCAGCCATCTCACATGTATCCCATCTAAACCGTTTAAAGTTTTCCACACACACGCCTAAAAGATTTCTTTTTTTTTCTCCCTCTGTCTCGCGCACACACACACACACACACACACACACACACAGAGAGAGAGAGAGAAACTATACATAACAATACACAAACACATAGCAGGAAACTGTATCCAAGAGAGTGTTACTGGGTCCAATTTGAGGTCAGGGATACACATCCAGCACTTTTCATCACTCTCTCACACACCTCTATACACACATGAACACGCCTACTTGAGGCTCAGAGGTGCAGTCCCAGCAGAACGTATGTGCTATTATATCATTCTACCAGGGGAACTTTGTAAGCTTTAAAATGATCCTACAGAGTTTACAGATATTAAAGAGGATTTAGTGTGAGGGATTGTGGGTGTTTTCTTTGTCAACTTACTTTTTTTTTCTGCCCAAAGCTGGTTTGCAGCTGCAAAATTAGGTCCTGATATTTGTTGTTTTTTAATATGGAGCATTATATAGGATTGGCTATATAAAAGGTACGACAATTTAAAATCTACTTTATCTATACAGTACAGTATATTGATTTGTAAGTGACACCTATGGAATGTACTTTCAGCTGAACCCTTACTTAACCTCAGACGAAGGTCTGAGCACATAAACTCTGCCTCTTCCTGCAGGATTAAGCAAAATGAAGGCAACACGTAGGCTGACAGCAGGACCTAGAAAGTCTTCCCCAACAAAAAGTAATCTCATAATTAATGACGCCAGTCCATACTATTGCTCGCACGTTTGTCCACCAGTTCCACTTAAATAATATACACAGAGATTCAATCACAGTGTGGGCAGAGTTAAGATAATGAGAATACTTGAATACTTTGTGTAAATGCAAAAGCCTGTGGCTCAAACATCACTACCAAATACTGTGTCCAGATACAGGTCACATGTTAAAACCAGATCATGCCTTGATGCTCCTCTATATATACACATTACAATATGAATAGGTTTTGGGGCACTTGAAGACAAAATAATAAAGTTTCAGGCCATGAAATCAAAACAATCAGCTGAAAGATGTTAAAACGCTTCTTCGACATTACACATAGTAATCTGATCTATTGTTAATGTGGAAAAAATTTAGGAGTGAAGCTTTGAAACTCAATTTTGGTGTTCATTCTTGTAGTGGACAACTAAGTTAACTGTGCATATCCTCTGTGTGTCAGGAGAAAGAGCAGCAGTGGCGGACTCACGTAGCGGAGCTGACCTCCAGCCAGGAGAAGACCCTGCAAGACAGACTGGCAAGACTCAGGAGATTCAGGGTGAGAATGACACACATACAAAAACAGATATCATAATCTTAGCTGTGGACCAACTGCTGGTGTCAAATACAACCAGCTGTTGTTGTTTGACATCTTTGACATGCTTAAGTTTACTGTGACGGTCTGAGACACCACAGTGTGACGACTTCAGCAGCCACAAGGCTTTTAACGTTTCAAAGCTCCTGCGGAACACACAAGCTTTTTAAAGATCAGAGACAAGCTATTTATCAGACACCGAGGGTTCCTGGACATCATCCTCAATTTACAGAGAGGTCACAGTTCGTCGACCTTCATTCAGTTCATTGATCAGGAGCCGTTAAAGGTGCTTGTCAGCAGCTCGTCAGTTGAATAAATGCTTGGTAAAGTCCAAAGCTGTCAATCAAGGGGTTATCTCTTATTTCATGTCACTCTGGTGCCAATCACTTCACTGAGACCACCTGTCAATCAAGTACTGTGGGAGGGACTGCAGATGAAAGTGTCTCTTGATCAGACTTCCTGTTTGCTGACCATTACCCAAACATTTTCTGACTATGTTTTAGTTTTAGTTTTTGGATTGTCCATTCAGCATATGCACTGTCAGTTTGTTAATAGCGTCTAGTTAAAATGTCTTTTATTTCTCCACACTTTTCTCCTCCTGCAGGAGTTCCAGAGGAAGGTGCTAGTAGAGGAGTCAGGGATGGAGGACAGGGCAGCCAGCATCACAGTCAACCAACTTCTCACTAGGATGTAGAAGCACCATATGAGAGACCGGCTTATGATAAACGTACTTATTTTGTTGCACTTTCACATCAATAAATGATGTGTCACTGTGTCAACTGAGACATTAGTGTGATCAATGTAAATGAATTAGATGCTCGTGGAAACCAGCTGCAGTATGAGGGACTTCCACATCGAGTTAACTCAGCTGTAGTGGCTGCAGGTAGCTGTTGAGCTGTGAAAACCTAAAATGTCACAGAAGTGACCCAGTTAAGAGCCAAATAGTGATAAATATCAAATCTGATATCAGATTGTGCAGCAGGAACCAATAGGCACTACAACTCCTGGCTACAGCTTTCGCCATTTAAACAGTAGATAAATGAATCCAGACCTGAAATAACCAAAATAACCTCCCCATTGCTACACACTCCCTATTCAGCACCGTTGCTGCAGGACAACTGAGCAATTGATTACAATCTTCCAGTTTTGTTCTTAATCCAAAAAAAGCCCAAGCTATTTAAAAAAAACAAAAAATAAATCTATCAGCATCTTCAAGCTCACTAATGAACTTCCCGGAGTCTTGCTGTCAACATGAGGTTGAGAAAGTAATAGCACCTAATTCCCTATAAAACCATAGCTACACTTTGGTTTTTTGTATGGCTTAAACAGAAGACACAAACTGCTAGTGAGCCTTTAAAGTGCTGGTAGGTGGATTTTTAGGCTTTGGAGTGAGTCAGGCTTGCTGTTTCCCGTCTTCTAGTCTGCTAAGCTAATTAATCACCTTTTGGATCCAGCTTTAATTGCGGTCTCATCTCTTTATTGTGGTCTCATCCCTCGGCAAGAAAGTGAATATTTCCCAAAAACTATTTCCTTGATAGTAAACCACTGTGGAAACTCCAACAATTGTAGTGTAACATAAAATTAAATCTCTGCATTCTTCAGCTGGCTAAATGTGGTTATATAACTACTGCACAAGGAGCCAAAACTGAGAAATTACAAAATTGTTTGTTGTTATATTATGATATTATCAGATTTGACATGACTTCAGATTCCCAGACTCACCCACCATAAATACTTTTTAAAGTTTTAAAGAAGGTTTGTGAGCAATTACTTTATCTGAGCTGAGTTAAAGGTGCTGTGCAAAAAGTTGGATCTTATCACGATATAATGGGGCTGTTTAATGGACTAAACTATTGTCAAAAAAGAAAAAAAAATCAGGCCATAATGTCTACCCAATATCATTTTATGATCATCTGCAGCTTAGTGGATGAAAATCACAATGAGTCAGACGAGAAAATAACCCCAGAATTATTCATTGTTTATGTTGTGTTCTGTTTTCATGCAGTGTCCAATGTGAAAAGGATGAAGCCTGCAAAGCATTTTGGGGTCATAAAACATCACTTTCTGTGGAATTTTGCTCTAAATGTTTCATGCCCTCATGTTTTTAGGGATTTATCTCAGCCATACGTAAATCTACAGCATGTGTGAGTGTGAACCTTGCTACTTTTTTTCCTTTCTTTCTTTTTTAAAAACACATTCTGGTAAATGTTCATATCAGTGTCAATGTGTGTCAGTCTGTGTGTGCGTGTTGCATCTATGCGTGTATTCGTATGGCAGGAAAGTCTTTCTATCTAAACAAGATTTAAGAGGTCCTGAGACATTTCAGCAGACTGTGGCCTTCTATGGTAAACATGCAGGCTAAAGAAGAAAACAGCAGAAAATAGACAGTGACATTAATAAATATGAAGCCTGAAGCTTCAGGGTCACTATGGACTCTTAGGACCAGCGTTCATCCTTGTTGATCACACCCAGTCAGACATTTCTGTTTTTGGAAAAATCCGTACACGTTACCATGAAGTATATTTAGATGCAACATTGGAAAATGAGTTATGGAGGAAATGTAATTGCTGCTTTTAAGACATTCTATACTGGTTACCTTTCTTGCTGAGAGTAAGATAAAAAGATTGGTGCAACTCTCATGTCTTTACTGTAATGAAGAAGCAGCACATTTGCTTAACCAGAGCAGATTTTGTTACCATTGAGCAGTGCCATGCTTGCTCTGTACAATCTTTGTGCTAAGCTAGACCAACAGGCTGTTGGCAGACATTTCATATACAGTGGTATGCAAAAGCTTGGGCACCCCTTAAAAAAATCACTGTATCAGTTTGTCACTTGCTGGGCTTTTGAAGCAGCAACTTAATTTTAACATATGTTATACCTTATGGAAACAGAAACATCTCAGTAGTGAAATCATTTTTATTGGTCCAACAGAAACATTTTTATGTGCATTTAAACAAAAATAGGCATGTGCATAAATTTGGGCACCCCAAAGAAATAATTCCATTAATATTTAGTAGAGCCTCCTTTTGCTGCAATAACAGCCTGTAGACGCCTCCTATAGCCACAGACAACTCCCTGAAGTCTGGCAGGTGGTATTTTGGCCCATTCCTCCATACAAAACGCCTCCAGTTCAGTCAGGTTTCTTGGCTTCTGTGCGTAGACAGCCTGCTTCAAATCAATCCATACGTTTTCAATGATGTTAAGGTCTGGGGACTGGGATGGCCATTCCAGAACATTGTACTTGTGCTGCTGCATGAATTCCTTGGTGGATTTTGAACAGTGCTTAGGATCACTGTCCTGCCGAAAAATCCAACCCTGGCGTAGCTTCAACTTTGTGACCAACTCTTGAACATTCTTGTCAAGAATCTGCTGGTACTGAGAGGAATTCATGTAAATGGTAAATGGTAAATGGACCTGTACTTGTATAGCGCCTTTCTAGTCTTCCGACCACTCAAAGCGCTTTTACACTACGTGCCACATTCACCCTTTCACACACATTCACACAGTGATGGCAAAGTCCATCGGACAGAAACTAACATTCATACACATTCACACACCAATGCACGGCATCGGGAGCAATTTGGGGTTCAGTATCTTGCTCAAGGATACTTCCAAGGATCGAACCCACAACCTTCTGATTAAGGAACGACCTGCTCTGCTTCTAAGCCACAGGGATTGGATTGTGGAAAGATGAACAACTACACCATCAGCAGCCAGATGTTTTTGTAGTTTTCTGGAGGTGGTCTTTGGCATGTCTGTGAACATTCTAACCATCCTTAGCCTGTGCCTTTCCTGTATTATTTTCGGCCTACCACATCTTTCCTTCACAAGGACTGTTCTTGTGGCCTTCCATTTCTGCACTACATTTCTGACTGTGGAGACAGACAGTCCAAACCTTCCAGATAATTTCTTGTACCCTTCTCCTTATTCATAATAATGAATTATCTTAGTTTTTAGGTCAGTGGAGAGTTGTTTAGAGGCCCCCATGTTGCCACACACTAAGAAAGAACCTAGGACAAGCACAGCCAGCAATTACCTATGTGAAACACCTGTCTTTGTAATTGAAGGTCTCACGGGCTAATCAAAGCAATTTTGTGCTGCAACCTGTCAGCTATAAATCCATACAGGTCTTGACATGAATGCGATTAAAAGGGTGCCCAAACTTTTGTACATCCCATTTTTTACATTTTATTTTATTATAATAAAACTATGTAATGCTACTCTAAGAATTTCTGTCTGGAAAACACTCAAATATCTACATCTCTGTAGGAAAACTAATCTTGTTGCTGTGATCTTCTCTTATAAAAGGTAGAGCAAATTATCATGAAATCTCAGAGGGGTGCCCAAACGTTTGCATACCACTGTATATCGTGCATTAGAACCCTATCAATCTTCAAATCCAGCCCTGAGCAAGACAGCACATATTAAGGATTTGATAAAAAACTGACTTGAAGCACGAGAGAGGACTGCTTTCGTTAATTTGCCTTTTGAATCAAATTACTTTGTGTAATGTGAAATAATTCCTGGTTGACAAGCACACGAAAAATGATCACTTACTCTTTAATGGCAAGCTTTCTTTTAAGCCTCTTTTAGCTCATTGTTTTGGTTTTACTGCACATTTAGTCATCAATGCTTTTTTTTCAGAAGCAATAGGCATTAATGAACCCACTGCACACATTATTCCTAGAACAGCAGAAAGATGATACTAGTTAGCAGTTAGCTGGTGAGGGTGAAGTCTATTACCTAGCAAAAAAAGGCCCAGATATTTCCCTCAGGAGTAGTTAGACCAAAATAAAGCTAAAAGGAGAGAGAAGGAGGAGAAAATATTAGACTTAAACTCATCAGGTGCAAATTAGATATATGACTCCAAATTAGTGCTCCATGTCTGCAGTTTGTGTAAAGTGACAGCTGCTTGCTGAAATTTTAGCCATAACTACTTAAAAACAGTGTCATTATGGCTTCATTGCAGCAAGTTTTTGAGTTAATCTGCCCTAGCGGCCAAAATCAACTAGCGCAGCTTTAACAAAGTGGCCTTAAAGCTGCAATAGGTAACTTAAATAAACACAAATTTTTGTCATATTTGCTAAGCTTTCATGATATCCTGAGAGTATCAGGAGACACATAATCTGTGAAAAAAAATCTGATTCCTCTGGCTCCTAGTGCCCCTAATGGAACTTGCAAGCACCTGAACGAACTCTGGAAAGATTGACGGTAACACACACAAACAAAAAAACACACACACACCCTTCTCTCACACTTCAAAGTTAATGTATTTACACAGATGGACAGAGAATAGGGTGTGTCCTGGCTGCAGTCTTTATGTATGCGAGTGTGTGCCCGTGTACATGTGTGTATGCATGTACGCACAAGATACGTTTTGCATATATTATTACATTCTTTTAGTTGTGTGTGGGTCTGTGTGTGCAGACATACAACAGGTTTAGAGTATACATGTGTTTTGTGCAGCGTGTGTATGTGTGGGGCTGGCTGTGTATATGTGTGTGCTTATAAGGTGTGGCCTGGGGCAGTTTTCAGAGTGACACATGAAAGAATTCACATCAGAGTTCTATAGATCGCTTTCATCCGTATATTAAAGGGGCAAAAAGACAAAAGCTGTTGACAGAGAGAGAGAGAGAGAGAGGGGAGGAGGAGAGGAAGGTGAGATGAGGAGGAACAGGAGTTTCCAGTGTGTCAGATGGGGAAAAACAGGAAGAAAAAAGAGGAGTATGTGACTTACAATGCAAAGTATAGTATTGCCCAAGGACACAGACATACAGGAACATGAACTCTCTCTCCTCACTCGTCCTCATCCTCCCTCCCTTTTCCTATAAGCCTTCCCAGTGTTTACGTCCACTAGAGCCCCATTCTGGTTGCAACAGAGAACAGATCATTATTTTACCACAGCTCATTTTCAACATAGAATTTCTCATTATTTTTGTTTTTGAATCTGTGAATTTATTGGAACTTATTTGATTAATGAAAAAAACTGGTTAAAATCAGTATTTTAAGAATACCACCTGCAGAGCCAATGGTGTTTCTTCCCATTTTCTCTTAAGAATTCTCCCAGCTATGCTATTCATGCTTTTAAAAAACATTAAAAAGGACACGCCATAAACATAGTGTTTCTCCAATGCCTGCACATCAGACGGTAAATCAATAACACTCATTAATACCATAAATAGGATTGTTTTGTGATGAAGCGTGGACTTTATCAAAACCTGCATTTCTTTAAACTTCAATTAGTAATCACTACATTTTAAAGAATTCTTTAAGACAATAGTTTTCTACTAGGGTCAGATGTCTTTGGACTTTTTTTTTTACAAACTCTGGAGCATTAGGTACAACAACAAGGGGAAAGAAAAGCAATGGAATTTAAAGGTGAAAAAAGAAATCAATGTGAAAATTCTTTCAGTGGCAAAACTGAAATGCAACGCCACCGTTACCTCCTCTGTTTATTGTTGTTTCTTTATATGGCAGTGCAGAATAAGCTGTTCTCAGTTCATCAGCTATGGCTGCATATTACATATATTTCAATGATCAGTTCAAGCTCCAACAGCTCCCTGCAGTTCATACACACAGGTGTTTTCACTTTGCCTGATCAGACCTCCCCTACCCTCTGACTGTGTGGGCGTGTACCGGCCGTTTGATTGACAGCTCCCTTACTCCTTCCTCTGTTTGTTCTTTTGTGCCTCTTAAGAACAGACAGCGCTTTCACACGTGATCTGTTTGGTTCTAGTCAGTCAAAAAGCAGCTAAATCTGCAGTGTTTCTGTGGGTAGGGCTGGGAGGGTAGTGTGAATGCGCCTGTCTATATACGTGCAAAAAAATACTTCCAACATATTTCAGATCATACAAAACACAAACAATAAAATGTGTTGTTTTGTTAAACAGACCAAACCCAGGTTCTCTCATTAGTGGTCTGAGTAGGAGTCCAATCAGCCTGATAAATTGAAAACACCCCTGTTGATCCAGGACCTTTAATTAGCACACAGAATACTGGGCTCTTCTCATTTCTCTGTTTTATGCCTCCTCGTCACCTCCGTCCTCCTGCCCGTGACCCGGAAATCAATCTCAGCTTGAAGGATATTTTAGTTTCTAAAATGCGTCTTGACACTTATTTTAGTGAGAAATAATAGCCTTGTTCAAGATGAAGTGCTCCTCGCCTGGAAAGTGAAGGAGATCAGGAGGCGGTGACAGAAAGCTGCAGTCAAGTCGGACAGTTTCC